TTGAAGGGTCATCGATAACATAAATTATCTAACTTTTACAAGAATCTCAAATAGGAAAAAGGATTAGTTTCAAGTTCAATGTGGTCATTCAAGTGCGGACAATTTGCGAAGATATCGTATGTTTTTAGCCGCTTCCCTTCCCCATTTCAAGCTTGGAGAAGTACACTTAAGTTTTTATCAAAATGGGCAAAAAAGTCGGTATGTTAGGTTCCCAAAATAGAGAAAATGAAAAATTACTTTCACCACAGTTTTAACACATCTGCTTCTTAAATCTTACCTAGTCACGAGCAAGGAGAAAAGAGAATTTGGCATCAATAGAAGAGAATCAGATAGGAACACAGCAGGTCATTTAGAAGTTAGAAGGCATTGTTTATGCAGGACCAAATTGTTTATGAACTAGGAGAACTAGTTTCCATCACAAGTTATGTTCAAGCATACATGATATCACATTGTACGAGTCACAAGATATACAGTCTCCTAGACTCCTACTCTAATTTCACAATTTAACAAAACAAATTGCCAAACCCAGTAAATTTTCTGGTCTTGAAGACCAAGAGATAAAGGATGATTCGTGCACGCCACTAGACATTTTTGGCTCTTGAGCTCTCTTGTTCAATCCTGCAAGGCGAAATATTCATTAGGCAATTAGCATACTTCCTGTTTAGATGTATGCTCTTCTCAATCTTCTCCTAACAAAACCATAAATAATAAAGACAAACAGCATTCTGAACCTTATTATTCATGGTACAGCTTTGGTCTCTGATATATGGAAAACGAAAGATCTCCTAACTAGTCATGATCAAGAAAAAATCACTACTTAAGGGAACACAAACAGTCGAACAACAGCTGTTGGCCGCCTAACAGTCACTTAAATGAAGCTTGTTGCTTACTTGGATACAACAGCAGATGCAAGAAACTCATGCAGCTAGAGAAGCAATTTGATCAAGTCCTGTGTTCGGGTCTAATGCATTCAGCTTCAGCAGACTAATGACAACAAATAACTCCTATGATGCAGTCACTTTCTGATACCACAGCGGCCAGCTTTACCAGTTCCCGACTGCACAAATTATGTACCCTTCCTTTTCACAAGGTATATCCTCCCAAAATCTCTTCTATTTTCGTTGACAACTGAAATTTTTTGAGAGCCAACTGGTGCAGAGTCTGAAGTTCGGTGGATAATGGACCTGTACCTTAACCCTTCTCCACTTAAATACCAGGATTCTGCCTGCGGCAGAGTTCAAACTTGTGACGTGCACCTAATCCACACATCATGCGTTGTGCTCTTACCAATAGATGAAATCCCTGAGGGCATCTCGAATTCCTCCTTGAGGGCCCAAAACCTCTGAGGTTCCTCATAACTTTTGGTAAAAAGGAATTCACACAACACAAGAATATCCAATTGGTTGTACGAAAGAACCAATTTATAAACATCTGGTAAGCAACTGTCCTTTCTCTGCAAAAGCAAAGGTCGAGGTCATATTGACTGCAGTTGTAACAGCTCATTAAGGATTATGACTGGCTTGAAGACTTCCAAGTAGCTGGAGTCATCTAGTTATTATTGCTGAACAGAAGATATATGCATGCAATGTGCTGCAGAAGGCTCAGCAGAGACAATCTGTTGGTTCAGACAAAATCCATTTGACCAGATTTCACCTGTAGCATGGGTATTTTGTCTTTGAAATCCTGAAAAAGTATGACATAGCAGTTAAGTCTCAAAATAACCAAAAGCCAAGGATTTAGTGTTGTCCTTCAGAATTCTATAGTAAGACGAAGAGAGGGAGACACATTGAGAATGCACAACTTGATTTCTCTTTGAAGCTACTAGGGGGTGTGTACGCATGCTCCAAAATAGAAAATAATGCACAGATTACTAGAATACAACCTCCCTAACTAATCATGATTAAGAAAAAATCACTACTTAAGGGAACACAGAGAATCGAACAACAGCTGCCGGCAGCCTAACAATCACTTTAATGAAGCTTGTTGCTTACTTGGATACAACAACAGCAGATGCAAAAAACCCATGCAGCTAGAGAAGCAATTTGATCAAGTGCTATGTTCGGGTCTAATGCTTTCAGCTTCAGCAGACTAATGACAGCAAATAACTCCTATGATGCAGTCACTTTCTGATACCCCAGCTTCACCAGTTCCTGACTGCACAAATTATGTACCCTTCCTTTTCACAAGGTATATGCTCCCAAAATTTCTTCTATTTTCGTTGACAACTGAAATATTTTGAGAGCCAACTGGTGCAGAGTCTGAAGTTCGGTGGATAAGGACCTGTACCTTAATCCTTCTTCACTTACATACTAGGATTTTGCCTGCGGCAAAGTTCGAACTTGTGATGTGCACCTAATCCACACATCATGCATTGTGCTCTTACCAATAGACGAAATCCCTGAGGACTTCCCCAATTCCTCCTTTGAGGGCCCAAAACCTCTGAGGTTCCTCATAATTCTTGGTAAAAAGGAATTCCCACAACTCAAGAATATCCAATTGGCTGTACGAAAGAATCAATTTATAAACATCTGGTCGAAAGCAACTGCCTTTTCTCTGTAAAAGCAAAGGTCGAGGATTGACTGCAGTTGTAACAGCTCATTAAGGATTATGACTGGCTTGAAGACTTCCAAGTAGCTGGAATCTTCTAGTTATTATTGCTGAACAGAAGATATATGCATGCAATGTGCAGCAGAAGGCTCAGCAGAGACAATCTGCTGGTCCAGACAAAATCCGTTTGACCAGATTTCTCTTACAGCATGGGTATTTTGTCTTTGAAATCTTTAGAGCCTGAAAAAGTTGGACACAGCAGTTAGTTTCAAAACAATCAAAAGCCTGAGATTTAGTGTTGTCCTTCAGAATTTGAGAGTAAGACGGAGAGAGGGAGACATATTGAGAATGCACAACTTGATTCCTCTCTGAAGCTATTAGGGGTTAAACAGTGAGTACGCATGTTCCAAAATAGAAAATAATGCACAGATTACTAGAATATAACCTCCCTAATTGATGATATATAATAGATATATTATGCATTCCCTGACCTAATTCATAAATTATAGAATATTTGCAAATATCTTAAACAAAATAAAAGAAAGCCACTATATAAGTATTAATCAACAAACAGGAAACGGGACCAAAATAATTTAGTTCAAGTGAGTAATTAAAATAAGAAATTTTCTAAGAAGACAAGTCAAAAGACCAAACTGTCTTCTTGCAGAAAGTACTGCTTCATCCCACATTTGTCTTCAACTGGTCTGCTAGACAAGTGGCAGGTTAGAAAATGCAATGTCTGGGGACTGAGCAAATTTCTCAAAACAATAACACACTAAGCCAAACCCTATTCGGCCTACATATGCATTTGCTTTGGTCCCGTGGAGAAGTGACAGATTGGAAACACACTGTTTGGGACTGCGAACGAATTTTCTCCGCATTGATACTCCCACCCAACTTCAAAGGAAATATTACTCTCCATCCCATTTTCTGTGGAGGTATTTGATTGGGTACAAGGTGTTAAGAAAGAAATAAAGACTTTCGAAACTTGTTTTAAAACGAGATTTCTATGGCTATAAAATCATTTCATTAAGAGTAAAATAAATGAAACATTAAAGTTAAATTACTTCTAATATAGAAAGGTGTCATTTTTTGAGGACAAACTAAAAAGGAAAGTATGTCATATAAAATGGGACAAAGGAGTAAGATTTTGTGTGTGCTTGTGCACATGTTCATCATCGTTGGAAGGCACTCTCAATCAAAACCACAAAAAGATGGGAGTTGCAGGAATTCAAAACACCGACCATACTGATCTTTGGATTTTAGACCTATCACTCATGTTGATAGTTTCTATAAGATATTTGCAAAGCTCCCCACCGAATGATAAAAAAAAGTTGTTTCCGAACAGGTTGATGGCATTTATTAAAAGGAAACAAATTATAGATGCAGTGTTCATAGCAAATGGTTAGACAGATGAGGAGGGGGGGGGGGGGGGGGGAAGCAGGTATAACGTGCAAACTCGACACTAGAAAAACATGACTATGTAAGTTGGGTTTTTCTGCTCAAACAATTCTTTGAAATGGGAAATTGGAAGGAAATGATTAAACTGGATAAGTCACCGAATCAGTAGAGTCAAATGCAATTATGAATGTTACAGAACATGAGTCATGTATCTGAGCTGCTAAAATGTCAAAACGACAAATGAAGGAACAGGGACTTGAGAGCATTGTGAGCCAGTCGAAAGATCTGACACCATAAGATGGAAGTTGGGGAAACAATGTGCTTTTTCAGTCAAGTCCTTATATGAAAAGCTTTTGGTGAGAGCAGAGGAGGTTTTCCTGTAAAGCCAATTTGGATTCCTAAGGTGCCAAGGAAGGTGTGCTTTTTCACACGATAAGCTGCTATAGGGGTGATTTTGATGGCGGAAAACATTAGGAAAAGGAAAGTTGTTTCTATCAGCTGGTGTTACTTATGCAAGGAGGCAGTCTGGTCACGAGACTTGTGGAATATGTTCAGTTAATTAATATGTCTGTGGCGATGCCAAAGTTAGTGAAGGATTTGCTGTTTTGCTGGAAAGCTGGAAGAAGCAGGAGGAAGAACAGGCATGGAATGTTGTTCCTCTGGCTTTGACGTGGATCATTTTGAGAGAGAGAGAGATAAGTGGGCTTTTGAAGGGGTAGAATTGAGTTTTGGGCAGTTAAGGAGTAGTCTCTGATCCCTTATTTATTTTTGGTGCGCCTATGTAGTTCTGGATTGTTTAAAGGATTGAATGTTTTTGTAGAGAACCATATCTTTTTATAGTTTCTTTAATTTTAGGTATACTTCCTGTATACTGCCGATTTTTGGCCTTTGATTTATGAAATGAAACCGTTTACCTGATAAAAAAAAATAGAGAAAGAAACAAGATTGAGGAAAAGTTGGCACACTTAGTCCTTTTGAAATAAATAGAACTTACCTTACTGATCAGAAAAAAGCAGGGAAAATAAAAAGCAGGGAAACATCGTATGAACATGGCAAGAAGTTGCCTTTCATTTTATTTTATTTTTTACAAGTAATGATAGACTTTATTGATGTAAAGAAGTTGCATTTAAGTAATGCCTTTCCAATTGGTGAAGCATCAAATTTGAAAAAGAAATAAGGGATCCATAGCCACAAACTAGAATTTTTGGGATAAAATGATGGCGAATAGCAAAGATCAAATGAATCATAAAAGCAATCCTATAACATCAACTTGCCAATCCAAACTATACACAAAAGGTAAGGCAGGGGTGGAACTATCCCAGGAGGAAAGGTGCCACTTGTTAGACCTCACAGAAGTAGTATAAGAAGTAAAACTGTTGCATTGCTTTGCATCACCTGATAAATTTTGAGCTAGGTCAGTCACTTGCTGCCTCGATAGATTTAAATCCAGCTCTGCCAAGCCTTTCGCCTGAAATAGTTTAATTTACAATGCACATTCCATGTTGAAATGGGAAAAGCCATTATGGTGGTTCACCTACATTTACAAGTTGGCCAATGCTATAACTGAGGAACTGAGAAGAATAAGCATCCATTATCCCAGTGTAGTCTGATCTCCATTCCAACCTGAAGTTTCTTCCCTCTAATGATTTTTCCCCATTTTCCAATGAGATTATAGTAACTCCCCCGCCATCTCAACTTCATCAAATAGGTATCACCAGTGTCATCATCTCGAGCATTAATATTCATCTGATGTTCATTTCTCAGTTGTTCTCTGGCTTGCTGTGACCAGTAAAAAAGAATATGATCTTCAACAGCCTTACCGGGCAAAGTAAGAAATGGATGATTGGTATCCACATCAGACAATGTAAGTGCCTTCTTAATAGGCCAGTTATCCATCGCCGAGGCTGTGGCAACATACCGCTCCTGGGGAACTGAGAAGAACAAGCATTCATTTGCCCAGCGCAATCTGATCTCTTTCCCAACACCAAGTCCCTTCTGCCGAATTATTGCTCCCCATTTCCCAATAAGGTTATAGTAATTCCCCCTCCACTTAAATTTCATTCTATAACCTTCGCCAGTATCATAATCTCGGGAATTTACATTCACATGCTCCTCCTTCCTCAGCTGTTCTTGTTGCTGAGGTGTCCAATGCACAAGGATATGATCCTCAACTAATCGACGCGGCAGAGGGAGAAATGGATGATTGGTGTCCACATCAGAGAGTGTCAAGATCTTCTTAATGGGCCAATGGTCCTGCACTACTGGTGCTGCAACCATCCGAATTGGTGGGACTGCAACAATCTGCTGCTGTGGGACCGAGAAGTGCAAGCACCCATTTTCCCAACGTATTTTAATCTCTTGCCCTACATCAAGTCCTTTCCCTCGTACAACTCTGCCCCACTTACCAATCAGATTGTAATAGCTTCCCCGCCATTTCAACTTCATCACATACATCTCACCTGTATCATCATCTCGGGCATTAAAATCTACTTGGCCTTGGGCTCTCAAATGCTCCTGTTGTTCTGTTGTCATATGCAACACAATGTGGTTCTCCACTTGTTGCCGAGACAAAGTAAGGAATGGATGTGTGATATCTACATCAGACAATGTCAGAGCCTTTTTGATAGGCCAATGATCCTGCATTTGGGGTACACAGCTGTAGATCGCTGCTCTTTTCATTCCTACAACAACCACAGATAAGAGTCAAATTATAATGTTAAAAAATTATCAACAACAGCCTAAATTGCAAGGCTAATAACACAAATAAATCTGACGAGCAACATTTCAATCATGTATGCCCTTAACCCAAACTAGTTAGGGAATTTAGAGGATTTACCTTAATTAGACAACTTTTACAGCCCACCGCACCCTCCTTTACTCCCCTCAAAATTTAAGCTAGTACGTGAATAGATTCAAACATACATCACGCTAACGACAAAATCATTTTGTACAAAAACTCTCACTTGATCATTAATTTAACATAGTAACAAGACAGAGAATATATGGACAAACTTAAAATCAATTACTAATTGTTTCAGACCTAGTTAAAAATTAGATAACTGGAAAAGAAACATTTCTGTTTCAGACAAGAAAAGCTCACTGCTTTGAGACCAAAACCCAGTACAGCTACTCCTACTGCTACCATTAAGCCTTAATTCCAAATTCATTGGGTCTGATATGTAAATCCTCAAATACCCATTCAAATCTAACACCAAACATGCCCCCCCAAAAAAAGAAAAAAACTTGAATGAAAATATATAAAGTCAATGATAAGAATCTTGTTTTGCTACATTAATCAATTCATAAAGGCATCAGCTTTGATACTTAGCCAAGAAAAACAAAGGTGATTCTAAGTTGTTACCAAAGTGGCACTAAGCTGAAGAAAACAAAACACGTTGGGTAGCTGAGAAAGAGATAGTTATTGGGGATGAGGTTAAGTGTGTGTGTATATATATATTAGAGGAAAAAGTGAATCTTGGATCACAAGGGTTTGGAGGGCCAACAAGAAATAGTATGATGAACAACACATTTGATGAGAAGGAAAAGCATGTGAGTAGCGGTTTGAATTGGGAGAAAAATAGAGGTAAGAACGCAAATTGTCATGTCTTGATGATTGTGAATGGTGGGTGATTGATGCTTTGTGTGAAAGAAGAAACAACAAAAGAGGGTCATTGGCCGACCCAATTGGTGTGATTAGGTATTTTACACAAAATACCTCCATTTTACTACTCCTTCAACTTTCCTTCAATTTTTTTATTTCTTTCTTTTTATAAACAAATAAATAAGTAAACACAAATCAATTATTTACTAAAATCTTAGCAGTTTAGTTGATTGACAATTCCTTCCCCATTACTTCTTTTTCTATCACAATTTTTGTTTAAAAAAAGATATATTGTTTGACCAAATTTTATTTTGAAATCGACATTTTTGTTTATAATTCAAAATTAAATATTTAAATAAAATTTCAACTTAAAATTAATCTGATTTTACATTATTAATTTTTAATCATGTCCAAACGAGTCCTTAGTTTCTATTATCTTGTGGAAGTATTTTTTTTAACTAGTCATGACAATTGACAAGTAAATACATGTGTTATGACATCGTTTTTTTTTCCCTCAAAATTGTCTTTATGGGTCTCGTAGTATGAAAAAAATAAATAAAAGCCCCCTCTCTCTTCAGTCTTTGGAATTTCTTCTTCGTTGTCGTCCTTTTCCATCACCCCTATTTGAGACTTTCCCAGTATTCCCCTCCTACCAACTTATAAAAAATTCAGATACAGAAATTGATCTCATAATTTAGTTTTCCTCAATGATTTTAGAATCAATTTCGATAATATCAAGATACAATTGTCGTGACCAGCACCCAGACTAATCCTCCTATGAATGAACATGTCACGACCCAAGGTAGCCCTTAGGTGTATATGGCGTATAGGAACCCGAGAGGCCCCATACAAGCCACTTGTAACTCCCAGAAAACTAGTAGGTGAAACTAGAGCCTTACGTGTGAGTTGTTGAGTTTGATGTGGGGTTTGATATGGGGTTTTATGTTGTAAAGTGACTTCCCGAGCTTAGGTTGAGGGGCTAAATGTCAAGGTACGACCCTTCAAGGACAAACCAAGGTGTCACAACCCGAGAGCACCCCCTAGTCGTAATCGACCTCTCGGAGGTCTAATACAAGCCTCTTAGCATTCATTCATCGCATAGACACTAAAAATCATAAGGGATTAAAACCTTTCTTTACAAAGAAGACATTTCATTTAAAAAAAATAGCAAGCGGAAGACTTCTAGACTTTATACACTTATGTCTCAAACCATCTAATACTTTGAATACACCATTGGGATTAAGCCCATACAAAACTTAAGCAAATACTAGAAAGACATAAAAAAAAAAAGAACATGTAGGGTATTGTCCTCGAACCTATGAGGACTCACCAAGTCTTCATCTTCAAACACCTTAGAAACCTAATCAAGTAGCCATGACATGTCACCATCTCCAAATTCCTACACTTTAGTCAAAAAGGGAAAGAAAGGGGTTAGCACAATTAAGTACTAAGTATGGAGACCATGCAAAAACATGCCAAAACGGACATTTACAAAGAATAAATGTTTTCATATTATTTTGATAAAACCTTCACTTCACAAGTATAAGAGACATAATACAAGTCAATGTTCACATATAAAACCATAGCCAACCATATACATACTCAACATATATTCATATATTCATATACAACTCATGCTTAACTTTAAAAGAACACACGCCATTTCATTACCGTAGGACCTCTACCTAATATAACCTTAAGACACACTTGAGTGAGACAAGAAGTGATCGCCTATACAACCTCTTCAAGCACACTTAAGTGTTCCTCAAGATTACCTTAGATAAGGACATTTCCTTTATAACATAACATCAATAGACCAACATTCTTTAAGAAACCATTTAGGAGACATTCAAGCACATAAGGGGACTTTCACATAATAGTCGTTAGACTTAGGGAACTCACTTTAGTATCTTCAAAGCCTACTTGTGCCATGTGTAGATAGCATCTCATACTACTACCTACACGTTGTAAAACCTATCTAATAACTAGAGTGCACATCCCACATGATGGGAATAGGCATAACCGACATAGACCATACTAGCTAGGCATGGAATCCGGAGTCTATCCTACTTCGTGGAGGTTGTCCTACTTGCCAAAGGTAGAACTAGTAAGCAACCCATGTAGGCACATGGTTTAGGGGATGTCCAAGGAAGTTCATTGTGCCTAATCTCATACTCAACTAGGCCACCTTCCTAACCACATCCACTCGGTGCTAGCCTTATTTCCCATAGAGTATTTCATTCACATATGTACTAGAGAGGGTTCCTTTTCTAGTTCAACCAACTCATAGTACCTCTTCCCAAGAAAGGCCCCATTTCTTAGTCATAGCCAATCAAGGTTCATAAGGATAACTTATTTAACTTTCTTAGATAAGGATTTCATGCCGTTCCGGCTCCATCCATCTCTAAGTCTATCATTTCACTCAAGAAGGGAACATCGCCCTAAGGCCCATCCTTCAAGGTTATACATTTACTTAGGAAAGCTAGACTTATGAAAGGGCACCATTTCTTAGTTCTGTTGATTCAAGTCTTGGCCTAGAATTCCTCTTTTAGCATTTATAGAAAGGGCACCATTTCTTAGTTCTAGCCCACTTCACACATTCATGCATTCAAGACTTTAAGTAACAAAGAGAGACACTTTAGTCTACCAACCAAGTCATATCATTATCATCTAAGGATACTTCATAATCCAACATCATTTCATATATCCATCATGAGAAATTATACTTTAAATCACAATGCTATCCACTTTACATAGGATCATCACAAGATCACATAAACTCCTTCACATCATGCCTTCACATATAGCTTCACATAAAACTATATATATAGCTTCATATAGGACTTTACATATAGCCTCATTTATATATAATAACACAACAATACAACAATACTCATACAATGCCTTTCATGGCCACAATCATAATTCCAAAGCAACAACAACACTTCCACCAAAGGTGGATCCAACCTAAGAAGCAATTTTAGCAATATTAAGAGATCAAACCATCTTACCACCTTTTCAAAGGCCATAAGCCAAAATACTCAATTCCCTACTAATTCAACATTATTCTAAAGTAGGTCAACTTACCATCCTTTCCAAGCCACAATCACCATCCTTAATTTTCCATAATATCACAATAGAATAGCATAGATAATAGTAGAATTTAGCTATACAATACAAGCTAAACATAATCTAATAATCAACATAAAGACCGATTCACTATTTGCCCATGCAAGGCTCAAATCTCATATCCTTCAATTCAACATCAATTCTTCACAATTCAACATATATAATACCATATATGAACAGCCCATACCATACTAAACACAATTCTATAATCATCTACTCAAAATCAATACACCCACGTTATGGTGAAATTTAGAGAATTTCAGAAAACATGGGTTCATGGAGATTTCTTTCTAAAAACCATTAATAATTATTAATAACAATATAAATCATCATTTAAAACCTTTTTATGCAAGAACCCATGCTAGAATCGAAATTAGGAATTTAAGGTTTTTTTGAAGAACTTTGAAAATACTTTGAATTGGCTCTTTGATTAAAAACGAAATCAAAGATAAAGAGTCCCCATACCTTAATATTGAGAAAGCCCACGAAAATCGATGAAAGAAGCCTCCAATTTGAAACCCTAGTTCTTCACTCTTCTTCTTCCTTGAACTAGAGAGTGTTTTTTTAGAGAGAGAGGATGATTTTGGAAATTCTAATTTAAAGAATAAAGTTATAACCCTCAATTAAATGATCTAATATACCTAAATTAATAAAAACAACTTAAAATAAATGCCCAAACATTTAATTTGCCAAGGGGGGGAATTTACCAACCCTTTATACAAGTATATCAACTGCTAACACACATGTGAAGCTCTAATTATCCTATTTCATTATTTTTTGAGGGGTGTTACACAAGGGTCCTTGAGGGGGACCCTAAACTCTAACCCCAAGGCTGCCCCAACAACAAAAAATTGCCAATTTTGCATGACCCACGTATGGGACCTACGGGGCGTAGGTTCCTCCACGCCTTGTGGGGAGACTTCGTGAGTGAAGGGCCTATTTTAGGAGCCCAAGTCCACCATCCACAGACCTGCAGGACGGGGCGTGACCCCACTCAGGGTCCGTGAGTCCTGGGTCATGGATGGCACCTGAGTTTCTGCCTAGGTTCGGTCTAGGGAGGGGCAACTTGGTAAATTCCTAGGGTGGTTAGTTAAGTTAGGTGTCATTTTATATTGATTTATTAGACTTATTTAAGACCTTTTAAGTCATTAACCACCCCTTTACAATTCATAATTCCCAAACCCAAATAGTAACCACCTCCTCTCCAAATATTCTTTCTCTAGAAACTCCATTGAAGAACAACAACAAGGTCAAGGTCTAGGGCTCAAGGACTCTTCTTTTCCACTCAATTTCGTGAGGAATCTTCAACTAAGGTATGGTATTTTTGATTCATGGTTATCTTTCCATCCATGAAGTCCTCAAACCTTCAATTTCAAAGTTGGAAATTCTCCAAAACTAAGGGTTTTCATTCTAGGTCATGGATCCTTTCTCAAAATGTTTTCAATGGTTTAATTAACATATATTAAGATTGAATTGATGTTTTATGGTAATTTTAAGATAAAATACCCCATGAATCCATGATTTCCCCATAACCCTAGTTTATGACTATATGATGTGGGTGAATTGTAATAAGATGAATGTTATGCAATCGATCTTGTAATGCTTTAGTTACTTAAATTATGTCATTATTTATGCCTAAATTGTAGTAATTCTAGGTGTATTGGTGAATTGTGATTCATGGCCTTGAAGGAAAAATTATGAAGATTGATGTATAATCATAATGCTTATGTATATGATTTGTGATTACAATGAAAGTAATGTGACCATGACTACAATGCAATTGTGATATTATTGAAAGGTTATTCTCAATTATACACTTGTGAATGATGATGATATATTGTGAAGGTTTCTTAAATGTAATGTTATACCTTGAATTGGTAGGCTTAGGACATCATTTTATTGTGTAATTGAAAGTGATCTTGATTGATGTACCTTGAATTGGTAGGCTTAGGTAATCCTCTTCTTGTGTAACTAATGTATCTTGACTTAATGAACATTGAATCGATGGACCTAATGGTGGTACCCCTTTCATGTAATGAATAATGAACCTTGAATCGACAGACCTAATGGTGGTATCCCTGTCATAAATGATTAATGAAGTATTCTAAGGCTTTGTCTTGAATCGGTAGACCTAATGGTGGTAGCCCTTTCATGTGTATAATGATTAACCTTGAATCGGTAGACCAAATGGTGGTGGCCCTTTCTTGAGGATTCAATGAGCTATCCTAATAATGTACCTTGAATCGGTAAACCTAATGGTGGTGTCCTTTTCATGTGTGTAATGTACTTTAGGCTGGTAGACCTAATGGTGGTAGTCCTCTTAAGTATAATAATGTTAATAAGGATGAACTACTCTATGGGAATTTAAAGCTTAGCACCGAGTGGATATGGTAAGATGGAAGCTCTCCCCATGTTAGGCCGGGTTTCAATGAACATCTTTCTTATCCCATAACTATGTGCCCACATAGGATATTAGGTAGTGGATCCACCTAAGCTAAAATATTACCGGTCCTACCTTAGGCAAGTAGACCAACCCTTTACGGTGTGGGATAGACACCGGATTCCATGATTTTCTCACATGATCTATGTCGGTTAGTGCTTATTCCTATCATGTGAGTTACGTGCTATGGTTTCTCAAGAGGTTCTATGAAGTGTGGGTGGTAGTATGGGATGCCATTCATGCAATGCACGAGTAGGCTTTGAGAGGGCTATGGTGTGTTTCTCTAATGTCATAATGTCTAATGAAATGAATGTGCTTATAATGATGCTAATGAGAATGTTGACTTAAAGGCTTAATGTAATGATGAATGTTTAACTTGGAAATGTTATTATGAGTTGCTTTCCTTGTCATAACCTATTTAATGTGAATGTTCCTTGTCTATGATTATTGACTAAAGGAGAGAATGAAGAATGGTAAGTATGTTATGGTGGCCTTAAAGTGGTACTTAGTATGAATGGTATTATGGGATGCCATTCATACATTGCACAAATATAACTTAGGGTTGCCTAAGATGATGGGTCTATTATGTTATAATGATATACATGTTGAATATGTTTGCATCCTATGTTTTTATACTCAAGTCTCATGATGATTCTTAAAGTTGACAAAATGCATGGTTTTCAACCAAAACGTCCTTTTTAGCATGCTTTTTGCATGACTATCATACTTAGTACATTTTTGTGCTAACCCATATTTCTTTTACATTTTTTACAAAGTGTAGGTTCCGGATCTTAAGGTGACATCTAGTGTTCAAAGCTTGGATTGATTCTCTCCAAAGCTAGTGATGAGTCATCATGGTTCGAGGACGAGAGTTGTTCTTCCCTAGTTTCTTTTATGTCATTTTAAGTTTCAGACTATGTTGAAGGGCTGTGACCCTATCTTTGATTCAAGTTGTATTAGATGGCCATGTGAGACAAGTTAGACTTCCGATGTTTGTTTTTAAATAAATACTTCGATTGTATGGATAAATGTTTTAAATTTCGTACCATTTTCTTATGTCTTATGTTATGAATGCTATGAGGCTTGTATGAGGCTTTTTGGAGTCTTGTACGTCGTGTCACGTCCGGGGTGTAGGCTCGGGTCGTGACAAATATGGTATTAGAGCACAAGATGTTGGGATGGTTTTTAGGATGATGTCTCACAAGCCACGTCTAGTAGAGTCATGTTCATAGTGTGAAGCGCGCCATATTTATGAATGAGAGCCTATAAGATGTTAAGAAACTACACTTCTTTCATTACTCTTTAAGTCGTGCCATAAAGTTTAGCTCTAGAAAAGTCCTTTTCGTGACCATTCTCTTATGTATTCAGGAAATGAAGACATGAAGGGCGAATGCTAGAAGGGTGGAAGAGGAGAATGTGAATCAAGGAGTTCCTCAAGGTAATCAAGCTCCTCAAGTGAACCAAGCTCCTCAAGGGAATCAAGCTCCAATTAACCCCTCGGCCATGATAGATGAGGAAGTTAGGTCGGCTCTTCTAATGATGGCTCAAGCCGTAACTACTCAATCCCAAGCTATGACGTCCCAAGCCACTAGAGATGGTGGGACTCATGTGAACCCTAATGTGAGCACAATGGCTTCTAGGTTGAGGGACTTTGTGAGGATGAACCCTCCGGTGTTTCTTGGTTCCAAGGTGAGAGAGAATCCCCAAGAATTTGTGGATGAGGATTATAAGGTAGTTGATGCTATGGGGGTGACTTCGGTAGAAAAAGTGGAACTAGCCACTTATCAATTGAAGGATGTTGCTCAAGTTTGGTTTACTCAATGTAAGAGTAATAGGACGGTAGGAGCGGGTCCTATTGATTGGGAGGTGTTTAAGAAAGCCTTCCTTGATAGGTTCTTTCCCCATGAGAAGAGAGAAGTTAAGGTGGAAGAATTTATCAACCTTAGGCAAGGTAATATGAGTGTTCAAGAGTATTCTTTTAAATTTACCCTATTGTCTAAGTATGCTCCATCTTTGGTGTTGAATTCAATGGATGAGATGAATAGATTTGTAACGGGTGTGTCCGACTTAGTTGAGGAAGAATGTCGTACGACAATGCTCCATGATGATATGAATATCTCTAGGCTTAGGGTGTATGCTCAACAAATTGAGGAGTGTAAAATAAAGTAAAAGAATAAGGAGATGAAAAGAGTTAGGTCCGATGAGCAAGGTCAACCAAGGTTCAAAAAGAGATCTTCCAACCAAGATTCTTCAAGCACTCCTAGGGTTAACCAAGAGAAAGGTAGCGGACCTCCATTTCCTAAACCTATTTGCACCAATTGTGGAAAGAAACACTATGGGAAGTGCCTAGCTGGTACAAATGGGTGTTATGGTTGTGGAAAGAGTGATCATCAAGTGAAAGATTTCCCTACTCTTACGGCAAAAGGGAGAGAGGCCAAGCAAGTTTCTCCTAGTGTCCCGGATCCTTATGCTCCAAAGCATGGTCGTTTCTATGCACTTCGGTCTAGAGAGGACAAATAAGCCCTTTTGGATGAAGGCACCAGTATGATGATAGTTCCTTATAGTTGTAAATGTTTTATTAAGGTCCCTATGCTATTTTCATGTTAGCCTTAGTATGGGTTTATTCCCAAGTGGGAGATGGTATGGTTAGAAAGCAAGGTTGTTAAAAGTTTCGATATCCTTATCTCTTTCTTCTATTTTATTCAAGCTTGAGACAAAGAGTTCCTTGTGACTTGTTTCATATTTTGGAGTCATGTGTGATTATGTGTTTCCATGGTCTCCTTATCTTATGCATGTTCTTGATGAATTCATGTTTAATGAGAAAATGGGTTTTCATGATTTATGTTCCTCATGTTGATATGCATTCAATATGAGTTGCTTATATGCTTCATGAGATGAAATGTTGAACATGCTTAAATGTGTTTTTGAGAATAATTGCATAATTTCTTCATGATGTTATGCTGATCATGATTTTAGTTGAAGAAAGTAATTCCTCCAATGGTACGAGAAATGTTGAAGTTTTCATACATAATGGGTTAATAGATGTAGTTCCTACTTCCTTGTGTTGCATTGAGTATATTGAAATGGAGTTGATGTTTCCTCCTTGTTTTGTGCATTGTTATGATGTTTCATACATGATGGGTTGCTAGTCTTGAGTCTTTAATTCCGTAAAGTGTTTAAAGTGTCATTCGAGGATGAATGTTTCCTAGGGGTAAATAATGTAACACCCGGAAAACTAGTAGGTGAAACTAGAGCCTTACGTGTGAGTTGTTGAGTTTGATGTGGGATTTTATGTTGTAAAGTGATTTCCCGAGCTTAGGTTGAGGGGTTAAATGTCAAGGTACGAACCAACCAAGGGTCCTTGAGGGGGACCCTAAAGTCAAACCCCAAGGCTGCCCCAAGAACCAAAATCTGCCAATTTTGTATGACCCACAGATGGGATCTACAGGGAGTAGGTCCCTCCACGCCTCGTTGGGAGGCTTCGTGAGTGAAGGGCCTATTTTAGGAGCCCCAGTCCACCATCCAAGGTCCTGCAGGATGGGGCGTGACCCCACTCACGGTCCATGAGTCCTGGGTCGTGGATGGCACCTGAGTTTCTACCTAGGTTCGACAAAAGGAGGGGAAACTTGGTAAATTTCTAGGGTGGTTAGTTAAGTTAGGGGTCATTTTATATTGATTTATTAGACTTATTTAAGACCTTTTAAGTCATTAACCACCCCTTTACAATTCATAATTCCCAAACCCAAATAGTAATCACCTAATCTCCAAATATTCTCTCTCTAGAAACTCCATTGAAGAACAACAACAAGGTCAAGGTCTAGGGCTCAAGGACTCTTCTTTTCCACTCAATTTCGTGAGGAATCTTCAACTAAGGTATGGTAGTTTTGATTCATGGTTAACTTTCCATCCATTAAGTCCTCAAACCTTCAATTTCAAAGTTGGAAATTCTCTAAAACTAAGGGTTTTCATTCTAGGTCATGGATTATTTCTCAAAATGTTTCAATGGTTTAATTAACATATATTAAGATTGAATGGCTACTTTATGGTGGTTTTAAGATTAAATCCGCCATGAATACATGATTTCCCCATGACCCTAAGTTATGACTATGTGATGTGGGTGAATTGTAGTAAGATGAATGTTATGCAATCGATCTTGTAATGCTTTAGATACTTGAATTATGTCATTATTCATGCCTAAATATTAGTAATTCTAGGCGTGTTGATGAATTGTGATTCATGGACTTGAAGGAAAAATTATGAAGATTGATGTATAATCATGATGCTTATGTATATGCTTTATGATTTCAACGAAAGTAATGTGATCATGACTACAATGAAATTGTGATATTATTGAAAGGTTATTCTCAATTATACACTTCTGAATGATGATGATATATTGTGAAAGGTTTCTTAAACGTAATGTTATACCTTGAATTGGTAGGCTTAGGACATCATTTTATTGTGTAATTGAAAGTGATCTTGATTGATGTACCTTGAATTGGTAGGCTTAGGTAATCCTCTTCTTGTGTAACTAATGTATCTTGACTTAATGAACATTGAATCGGTGGACCTAATGGTGGTACCCCTTTCATGTAATGAATAATGAACCTTGAATCGGTAGACCTAATGGTGGTATCCCTTATATAAATGATTAATGAAGTATTCTAAGGCTTTATCTTGAATCGGTAAGCCTAATGGTGGTAGCCCTTCATAATGAGTCTATGAACTAATGTAATGATAAGCCTTGAATCGGTAGACCTAATGGTGGTAGCCCTTTCATGTGTATAATGATGAACCGTGAATCAGTAGACCTAATGGTGGTGGCCCTTTCTTTAATATTCAATGAGCTATCCTAATAATGTACCTTGAATTAGTAGACTTAATGGTGGTGGCCCTGTCATGTATGTAATGTACTTTGGGCCGGTAGACCTAATGGTGGTAGCCCTCTCAAGTATAATAATGTTAATGATGATGAACTACTCTATAAGAATTTAAAGGTTAGCACTGAGTGGATATGGTAAGGTGGAAGCTCTCTTCATGTTAGGGCGGGTTTCAATGAACATCTTTCTTATCCCATAACTATGTGCCCACATAGGATATTAGGTAGTGGATCCACCTAAGCTAAAATGTTAACCGGTCTTACCTTAGGCAAGTAGACCAACCCTTTACGGTGTGGGATAGACACCGGATTCCATGATTTTCTCACATGATCTATGTCGGTTAGTGCTTATCCCATCATGTGAGTTATGTGCTATGGTTTCTCAAGAGGTTCTATGAAGTGTGGGTGGTAGTATAGGGCCATTCATGGATTGCACGAGTAGGATTTGAGAAGGCTATGGTGTGTTTCTCTAATGTCATAATGTCTAATGAAATGAATGTGCTTATAATGATGCTAATGAGAATGTTGACTTAAAGGCTTAATGTTATGATGAATGCTTAACTTGGAAATTTTATTATGAGTTGTTTTCCTTGTCATGACTTATTAAATGTGAATGTTCCTTGTGTATGATTATTGAATAAAGGAGAGAATGAAGAATGGTAAGTATGTTATGGTGGCCTCAAAGTGATACTTAGTATGAATGGTATTATGGGATGTCATTCATACATTGCACAAATATAACTTAGGGTTGCCTAAGATGATGGTTCTATTATGTTATAATGATATACATGTTGAATATGCTTGTATCCTATGTTTTTATACTCAAGTCTCATGATGATTCTTAAAGTTGACAAAATGCATGGTTTTCAACCAAAACGTCCTTTTTAGCATGATTTTTGCATGGCTATCATACTTAGTACATTTTTGTGCTAGCCCATATTTCTTCTACATTTTTACAAAGTGTAGGTTCCGGATCTTAAGGTGACTTCTAGTGTTCAAAGTTTGGATTGATTCTCTCCAAAGCTTGTGGTGGGTCATCATGGTTCGAGGTCGAGAGTTGTTCTTCCCTAGTTTCTTTTATGTCATTTTACGTTTCAGACTATATTGAAGGGTTGTCACCCTATCTTCTTTTCAAGTTGTATTAGATGGCCTTGTGAGACAAGTTAGACTTCCGTTGTTTGTTTTTAAATAAAGACTTCGATTGTATGGATAAATGTTTTAAATTCTGTACCATTTTCTTATGTCTTATGTTATGAATTTTATGAGGCTTTTCGAAGTCTTGTACGCCGTGTCACATCCGGGGTGTAGGCTCGGGTCGTGACAAACATGGTATCAAAGCTCAAGATATTGGGATGGTTTTAGGATAATGTCTCACAAACCACGTCTAGTAGAGTCTTGTTCATAGTGTGAAGGGCGCCACACTTATGAATAAGAGGCTATATGATGTTAGGAAACTACACATCTTTCATTACTTTTTAAGTCGTGCCATAGAGTTTAGCTCTATAAAAGTCCCTTTCCTAACCCTTTTCTTCTGCCTTCAGGAAATGAATACACAAAGGGCGAATGCTAGAAGGGTGGAAGAGGTGAATGTGAATCAAGGAGTTCCTAAAGGTAATCAAGCACCTCAAGTAAACCAAGCTCCTCAAGGGAATCAAGCTCCTATTAACTCCCCCCCCCCGGCCATGGCGGATGAGGAAGTTAGGTCGACTTTTCTAATGATAGCTCAAGCCGTAACTACTCAATCCCAAGCTATGACGGCCCAAGCCAATAGAGATAGTAGGACTCATATGAACCCTAATGTGAGCACTATGATTTCTCGGTTGAGGGACTTTGTGAGGATGAACCCTCCGGTGTTTCTTGGTTCTAAAGTGGGAGAGGATCCCCAAGAATTTGTGGATGAGGTGTATAAGGTAGTTGATGCTATGGGGGTGACTTCGGTAGAAAAAGTGGAACTAGCCGCTTATCAATTGAAGGATGTTGCTCAAGTTTGGTTTATTCAATGGAAGAGTAATAGGCCGGTAGGAGCGGGTCCTATTGATTGGGAGGTGTTTAAGAAAGCCTTCATTGATAGGTTCTTTCCCCATGAGAATACAGAAGTTAAGGTGGAAGAATTTATCAACCTTAGGCAAGGTAAGATGAGTGTTCAAGAGTATTCTTTTAAATTTACCCTATTGTCTAAGTATGCTCCATCTTTGGTGTCGAATTCGAAGGATGAGATGAATAGATTTGTGACGGGTGTGTCTGACTTAGTTGAGAAAGAATGTCGTACATCAAAGCTCCATGATGATATGAATATCTCTAGGCTTATGGTGTATGCTCAACAAATTGAGGAGTCTAAAATCAAGAAAAAGAATAGGGAGATGAAGAGAGCTAGGTCCGATGAGCAAGGTCAACCAAGGTTCAAAAAGAGATCTTCCAACCAAGATTTTTCAAGCACTCCTAGGGTTAACCAAGAGAAAGATAGTGGACCTCCATTTCCTAAACCTATTTGCACCAATTGTGGAAAGAAACACTATAAGAAGTGCCTAGCCGGTACAAATGCGTGTTATGGTTGTGGAAAGAGTGATCATCAAGTGAAAGGTTTCCCTACTCTTACAGCAAAGAGGAGAGAGGCCAAGCAAGCTTCTCCTAGTGTCCCGAA